GAACAAATCAAAATGAAATTCAATATTTCTCTTCTCTTTTTGGCTATCTTTGCTGTTGTTGCTTTAGCAAGTCCAATAGATGATATCAATAATTTGGAGAAGCGAGGTATTTCATTTAACTATTGCAATAAACATCATTATAGTCAAATATCATTATTTTAAAAAAATACTAACTATTGGGTTTCATTTTATTTTAAATAATAAATAGTTCCGTAAGTATTATTATTACAGTCAATATCATTGTTTTTGAAAACATATTTATTAATTATTGATTTTCATTTATTTTAAATAATAAATAGATTGGTAAGTTACTATTATTACAATCAATATTGTTGTTTTTGAAAATCATATTAACTGTTGATTGATTCTCATTTTATTTTAAATAATAAATAGAGGGTAAATATTTTTGTACTATTATTACAGTCAATATCATTGTTTTTGAAAACATATTAACTGTTGATTGATTTTCGTTTTATTTTAAATAATAAATAGAAAGTAAGTATTTTCATCATTACTATCATTAGTCAATATCATTGTTTTTGAAAACATACTAACTGTTAATTCTCATTTTATTTTAAATAATAAATAGAAAGTAAGTATTTTTTTTCATCATTACAATTATTAAAGCCAATATCATTGTTTTTGAAAACATATTAACTGTTGATTGATTCTTGTTTTATTTTAAATAATAAATAGAGGGTAAATATTTTTGTACAATTATTACAGTCAATATCATTGTTTTTGAAAACATACTAACTATTAATTTTTATTTTATTTTAAATAATGAATAGGTTGTAAGTATTTCATAATTTACTATTATTAAAGCCAATAACATTGTTTTTGAAAACATATTAACTGTTGATTGATTTTTCGTTTTATTTTAAATAATAAATAGAAAGTAAATATTTTCATCATTACTATTATTAAAGCCAATATCATTGTTTTTGAAAACATACTAACTATTAATTTTTATTTTATATTAAATAATGAATAGGAAGTAAGTATTTTTCATAATTTACTATCATTACACTCAATATTGTTGTTTTTGAAAACATATTAA